TGACGGAGGTGAATAGAATCAGCGCCGCGAAGGTCACTGTGAAAGAGACGAGAAGGTTGAGAGGAGGACGGAGGAGGGAAACAACAGGGAGGGGACTGCCGAGGAGTGCTTGTTACAAATGAGTACATCAGTTGTCTTTTATTAAAACACATCATTCACTTCTCGATGTAGAAACCAGAAGGGAAAAAAAAAGACGGCTTCTTTTTTTGTATTATCTTTGTCTTATGCCTTGGGCTTAATAAAAAGCTAATCAGCCATGAAGGAAATAAAGTAATGTTCTCTTTTCAAGAAAAGCTCATATTAAAACAATTGCACAGTAATTGTGCATTATCTCTTCAGTTTGTGCAGACGAAAGCACATACAGCAGAAACGCTTTTATATTCATTCCAACGCAAAATATGCATAAATTCATCCATCCATCATCTGTACACCACTTGATCCTCACCAGGGTCATGGGGGCGGAGCCTATCCCAGCTGACTCAGGGTGAAGGCAGGTTCACCTGGACAGGTAACCAGTCTATCACAGGGCTACACTTAGAGACAGACAACAGACAAGTACAGGCTCATCCATGGGCTGGTTCAGTGATTCCTCACATCCCAAGTTGAGCATTTCTCATGTTTTATTCCTCACTAGCATCCCTAGGCTTGTGACTATCATCCTTTGGCTAGCAAGCGGCATTCATGGTCTAGAATCCCTAAGTTAGCAACTAGCTTTTTTAGGCTACTGACTAGCAGTGGTACATAGTCACTAGCATTCCCCTTGGTAGCTACAAGCACTCCTAGGGTCGTCCCTGGCATTTCCATTGGATTTCCCATCACTAGCATTGCTAGGTGTGTCACTTGCACTCTTATTATAGGGACTAGCATCTCTATGCTAGCAACTAGCATTGCTGAGCTAGTCACTAGCATCCATCCATCCATCATCTATACACCACTTAAGGTTCACTGGGGTTGTGGAGGGGGGGCTGGAGTCTCTCCCAGACAACTCAGGGTGAAGCCAGGGGACACCTGGACAGGTAACCAGTCTATCACAGGGCTACACTTAGAGACAGACAACCAAGCACACTCACATTCACACCTACGGACAATTTACAATCACCAATTAACCTCAGCATGTTTCTGGACCGGGGCTCCAGGGAACATGGAGACTCCACGCAAAGATCCCGGGTGTCCTCACCGGGACGCGAACCGGCGACCTTCTAGGTGCGACGGTGCTAACCACTGAGCCACCTTGCAGCCCAGCATAGATTCAGAAATGCATTATCCCAACAGCTACAGATGCATGTGGTTGGTTGTTGAAGCCGTTTTGTGGTGGTGGTGACCCACATTTGGATTGAATGAGGTGAGTAACAGTTCATGATGCAACCAAAGTCTACGTCTATAGACTGTATAAGAAAGTCAGATAAGTCCACTGCTCTCTTTTGTCACGTAGATCCATCAAATGCAGTCAAGCACAGTTTCCTGGAAATGATGTTCATATACAAGTAATTTGGAAATCTCAGTATGAAAAATGTTCCCTGAGAAAATGGTCTGTTCTTCTATAATATTAACTCATAGCAATCAAAGCATTATACATTTTGAACTATAAAAAAGTTAAATATTGAGTATTGAAAAAGTTTTTAAAAAATTACTTAAGAGAAAGTTCTGCTTTCCATAAAGAAACGACCCAAAAATGGCAAAACTGATTATTAATTTACTCTGATTTCTAAAAAAACGGGCTTAAAGGTTCCATATTACGCCTCTTATCAGTAAATTAATGCAAGTCTCATGTCCCTGGAATTAATTTTTCAGCTCAAAAAACTGCAAAGACGATTTCGCCTTGACTGTATCACCCCTGGTTAAATGGACCGTCTCAGTGTCTCCGCCCCCTTCAGGAAGAGAACTCTCTGTGTCTGTGATTGGCAGCCAACGTCAGCGTGAATGAGTGTGTTTTAGTCACGACTTCATGCTTCGTTTGTCTGACAACAAACACAGAAAAACATCGTCTGCAAACAGCTTTGTTGGGAGTTGTATGATAATTCAGCACATGTAAACGGATCATTTCTCTGAATGTCCCTCAGTTTCAACAGAGCTCTGACCTGAGGGCACGAGGTCATAGCTAGCAGTCACGTTAGCCACATTAGTCGCTCAATGTGCTAACTAAGGATTTTCCTGTTGTTGCGTTGCCATCAGTGATTAAAGTAATCCACTGAATTGTCAGTTCCTCAGATGCTGGGAGTGCATGAAGACTCTTGTGTTCACTCACAGCAAAACGTTTGGTGTGCTTTGCTCATGGCTGAGACATTCTAGAGTTAGCGGAAGTAGCTCTAGAAACTAAATACACTTGTTGGACTGGGAGGCAGCTGCTCTCTCTAAATGACCTGGAAGCAGTGAGGGTGCAGGATTATACGAAGTTTGAGCGACTTAACGAAGTAGCTCAGTACGATTCTGACGAGCTTGTAAAGTTGGAAGACTGTCTAGTTGTGGGAGGTTGTTGGGGAATGTAGATGTCTTCATGTCGTAGCAACTTGGATTTGTACCATACGTGGCCTCTAAATATAGATATTTGTATATATCCTAATTAGCTACTTCATTATTCTAATAAAAAAACGATACACCAGGTTACTTTATTTGCACCCGTAGGTAGAACTGACAATATATTCTCAGTATTCGCTGCATAACGACGACCTGGTCTGATTGCAGAGCAAAGACAAGTAGCTTAATTGTTGCCCTTACAGGCAGCCTAATTTCCTAAGTAGCCTTAAGGGTCGCCATTAACATGAGAGTTTATGGCTGTGCTCCTTCCTGCCCCTCACAATCAATAAATCATTCATAATCACTCCTGGCTCACCTGTTGATACAAGGCTGTAAAGGTTTGCTTTGCGGAGCCTCCTCGTGGCCTCCTAATCTTAAAGGCCTCTGGCTAGGTGCTAAACCCCTGAATAATATGTGATTGGTAACGAGGACGCCTTTTACCAGAGTTCATTAGATCAGGATCAAAACACTGTCTGGCCCCGCGATGAGTCACATAATGATGCAGTTGCTGTGCACATGTAATGGGTAAATAATGTACTATTCATTTCAGGATATCTGTATTAACCTTTTGAGCTTGCAAGGTTAACGCAGAGAGACAAGACTGCGTCGCTGACCTTTTCATTACCGCGGACAAAACATCACCACCAAGGACACATGCGGCAAAATGATTACACTCCGGCTTTATTAAGTGGAGCCATTTGCGCGCAGACTCGGTTAAAGTGTAATGAATAGGATTCCTTTCTATTTAAGTTATTTGAGGATACTGAGTAATGAGTCTATAAGAGACCAACTGGCATGCACATTAAACATGAACTCAGAAGTACATTTTCTATGACTGATAGCTCGCCTCGGGTCTTCGCTTTCTAATCAATAGCAGTATCACCTTTACTTATTTAAGATGTTGGCTCATTATGTACAGCACTTGAGGTATAATGAGAGCCTGAGGTGAAAATGTAATTAAAAAGATAATATCATCTTCTACTCAAGTCATCTACTGAATACTGAATATTACACGTCTCTTAATGTCTAAAGTAAAGCCTGACTCATGGACATTAAACATGAATGGAGAACTACATTTTTCTATGACAGATAACTCACCTCACGTCAACTCCGTCTACTACGTCGGGATCAATAACGCTATCTTCCATTTATTTAAGATGTTAGTTTAAAAGGTTCGCCGCACTCATCAAGCGGGGAAGCAGAGATTGATTTTCGGCGTGTAAACCTCGTCAAATTTATTCAAGCTTTCATGGCGCTCCTCAAGGTATTACCCTTTATTTGTGTTAATTAGGATCGCTTGTTTCATACTCCGTGTTCACACTGGTTTATGCATACGATAAAGATTTCATGACAGCTGCACTCGCCAAGGTTCACTTCAGACTGAGAAAGAGCTTTCAGCGCCGCCAAAGAGTAAGTGGAAGTGGATATGTAAAGCCGTCCCATTTCGCATTCCTTTGTCTCCTCATGATATTCAAACACACTCGTGACATTCGGCAACGCGGCTGACTGAAGATGAGCCCGTGTAGATAATGGTGTGTTTCGGAGACATTTCAAAATGAGGACCAAAGTGTGACGTCCCTCCGCTGGTCCCCGTGACGCCGTAATGTTCATTACACAACAGAATGATGACAATTTCTCGACACTCCAAACGTTCGGCTCGATTCCGCCGCTACTCTCTTGTGACAGCCTTTCACAAGCGCAACATGAGTCTGTGTTCCTCAAGGCGGGGAAGCTACTGTCATCGCTCCCCAAATCCATGCTGTGCAGAGCGACGAAGTTAAAGCCCGAATGCCGAATATCAGCTCTGAAGATTCTCGTATCATCATTAGGCCGGTTGAGCCGGCTGCCTGAAGTGAGCTAAGTTAACTAAGGTAAACTGAAGTCTGCGCAAGCTCAGAAACCATAAATAATATCCCATCTCCATCGCTGATTCAACCCCGAAAAACTCATCTCTGTGTATCAAAATGACATTTTTAGATTTTTTCCAGCTCGAAAAATAATCCCGACCTGATTTAAAAGGGGCTTAAACACGACTCGACACCGGTGCTTCCTTGACATTGTGCAGATCTGTTAAGTCCCCATTTTTATCTACTCTACTAGAAAGTATAAATATTGGATTAAACGCTCAGCCATGGTGTTCTTTGCCTGTTTCAGTCATATTAGTCTTCTCGCTTAGAAAAAAAAACACCATATTTGCATACTAACAAGGTAAAAAAAAAACTTGATCGGGGATGGTGCAGAGTGTGGAGGTGGTCCATCAACTGTCAAAAAATGCACCAGAAGTTTCTAGAAATAGCTTAGCAATAACTAATACCCCCATTGTGTGTCGATGCAGGAAGACGGGGAGGATGTTGGGGTGGGTGGACGGGTATTAAAACTGTTCAGTCAGGCTTCATCATCTGCAAATAAAGATGAAGAACATAAACTACAACCTGTGTTTCTCCATAATAACACCTGAAGTGAAAAAAAAAACATGCCAACACTGATTATTTTGGACATTAATATCTTTTCTCTTTTATTAAGACAAGAACTCTTCATTGTTTTGTAAAAATGTCTATTTATGAACCAATACAAAATGTGTATGGGAATGTGGAACTCCTTTTCTCCATTAATACACATTAACATTTCCCAAGTACAGCAGAGAGACAAACAGAATCAATCTGAAAACAATGACTGGTGAAACAATCAAAACTTTTTGGGAGTCAAACGAGTTTCAAAAGGCGGTGGTGCATTGAAAGTGACAGTAGTACAGCCACGACAAGTTTCTGATCCTGCTTCATTCCAATAAACATTGTACTCTTTATGACCTATGTCAACACAAAGCAATACTTAACACATCTGTTACAGTGCACCAAATATTAAGAAAAATACATAAAACATGTACAACATATATTCAAAATATCTCACCAATTTTGCCTCTTGGACCTAAAATAATGTGTCGCACTTGATTTCAATGAATGCATTGTACTTGCTTTTATGTGGTTGGTAGGTGGGGCCTAAACTTTGCATTCTACCTGAGATGCAGTCACATCGTTCAGCAACGCATGAACCTGAGACAGGACATTATCAAAAGAATTGAATGTGGAGAAAACTAGCTCGGTTACACTGTGAAACCATGGTCCGTGTTTTAAAACGTCACTGGGCGTTGAATTTAAAATGGAAAGACACACACAGTAACCTACTTCAAATTTGGAAAAACTCACTCAAATGTATTTTTTATGTTGTTTTGTTCTTGTTGCTTTTCCTATTGGAACTGTGGGGGACCAAAAAACTCCTACAGTAAATAAAACACTCTGGGCGTTTCCTGCCCACAAAAAGGTTTCATATTCACGAATAAAATATTAATGCGTCAGCCTTAAGGGAGAAGACAATATTCAGTTCTATTCCTTTATTGGCAAGTACATGTTTTGAAGTCTGATTTAAATGGAAGCTGCCACATGTCACTGAAGCGAAATAGTGCTCACTGTAAAATACAAATCACACAATCTCAGTCTTACAGATGAAGTGACATCTGCTCTGTGATTCATAAAGCAACGATAACAAGTCGGTTAATAGTTTGTTTTTATCAGACACCAGACCGTGAAACATCTAACCTAATCGGTACCCCGCCCCCACCCCCACCCATCCATTCAACACACACAAAACAGTGTCGTCAGCATACAGTGGTAACTCAGTGGTGATTCCTTTGTGAACTTTTTCAGCTTTCGACAGAAGATACAGATGGAGAGAGGTGGACACGGCGTCTTTGATCTTGGTCTGCGACATCCCTCCTGTAACTCCCGCCTACAACTGCCACACCCAATGAAAAAGCTAAAAAAAAAAATATACGCACAGCTCCGCCCAGCCCACATGCTGTGTTCTAAAGTTGGAAAATCAAAATAACAAAAATTCAAACACGCTTTGAAAAGCACGGATGCATAATGCTAAAGAAAGGGAAATTTGCACAATGCATTTTACAAGAACCTTGGCTAACGCCTTACGACGACCTCAAACCCCAAACTCTCAATATGGAAAGACTGAATGCTGTCTTCATGCATGACCATGATATATTAAAGCTATCACATCGGTAATGTTTTTGCAATCTGAGTTGCAGCTCGACAAAATCTAATCAAATGCTTTAACATGGCGATACAGGAGTGAATCACAGCAGTGAGCGTGCACACAGCAAGCGACGCCATTAAGTCCCAAAGAAACGGGCTGATTGTAGAAGCAGTGTTCGGCCTTTGTCAGTGCGAGTTTAATCAGTGGATTTGACTAATATTGATCATGTAGATTGAGAAATACATTTTTTAAATGATTAGTCCAATAGTGAAATTGTCATTGTTATAGCGGGGAAGGAGAATATCTGTCCTGACATGATGTAGTCCCATGCGGATCAAGCCTCGAATGCTGGGAAGCAGCGCGACTATTTGCGTCCAAAAACGTCCCCGTTGACGTGCATCATTCCCAGAAGTGGACGCTTCAATGCGTCCAGGTGATGGCAGGACGGTTCCCTCCATGAAACAGGAAACCGTGCAACCACTGGCAGCACCTGATTGGATAAACGCTTCCAAGTTGTCTGCTCCTGGATTTCAATCTGGACCAACATGGGATCTGGTTTAACATCTAATTAGTTACGAAAATTTGCTTCTGAAAACAGCCGAGGTGCATCTGTCTGCATTTTATAGTTAGTTTAAAAGTTTCTCAGGAGTGTTCAGGATTGGCGAGTCACGCCGGACGCATGAAGAATCTTCAGCTTTACGTAAATAAGGGAACAAACCTGTTTCTGGAAACTCAATGTGGCGCGTTGCACAGCCGCTTACGAGAACCGTGGAGATGGTGAGTTCTGAATCCGAATCCAGCTCGACTGAAAACCTCCGCTTCAGGCAGCAGCAGCCCTCGACGTGCAGCACTTTCATATTGTTTGTGTTTCTTTAATCGAATGTGTCGTCAAGTTGTCAGAAATTTCCCATTAAATTACGCTTTTTGTGTCGCGTCGTTCTCCGACACCTTGTCCACTCGTCAACGCTGATATGAAATCATTAATCCTCCAAAACATTATAAAACTCTTTTTCTGGATGACATTCTGGCCACCGTGAGCAGATGATGTAAAACCTTTTAAACTGAACAGTCGCCACTTTGTTGCTCAGATGATATGTTCCAGTTTGATTCGGGAGCTTCGACTTCCTGCTCATTTTAAAAACCTCGGGCCTTCCACAGCGACACCACGATGAGCGGCGGGGTCGGCAATACGTTTAGCATTTGCGTCGACTCGGATGTAATATAATGGCAAGGCGGTGAAATATTCAGCGTTTCAGACTTTGGAGGTGTAAAAATCCGCCCACAGCCGCCACATAGAGAACGGACTCATTAGGCGAGCCGCTTGCTGTGTGAACACATAATAATGACAAACAGTGCCACCAGTAGACCCACACTGCCATGTTAAGAAGCCAGGGCATCAGTGCGGACCATGGACAAACACCACGGAGCACAACATGTGTATTAAGTTATGATACAGACAATTAATTACTTTTGGCATCCTCAGCGCTCCCCAGCTGGCACAGCAAAACAGACTCGAGTTCGGTTTTGGCAGGTGATGCACAAAGCGAGATAGAGAAGCGAGAAAGAATGGGTTTCAGCACGCACGCACATGCAAATGATATCGAACGTTTTAGGCGCTCAAAAGCTGCTGCATCCGAGCAAAAACCATAAACATTGAGATGGAGCGATGGAGCGACCGGCCTGTCTCTCGGAGCATTTCAGTTAGAAGACGTTGACTTTCCCCCCCCTCGACGTTTCCTTTGATTTACAGTTTGACGAAACTCACGATGAGTGTGTGACACAATAAAATCCACAAAGGTACTCCATTGTAATTCTAGTAAGTTGTAAAAAATATTTCTTAGTAAGGATTAGTGTACAATACAGCTGTGATTCCATTGGCTTGATTTACACTGGATCGTGTGAGATAACGTGGACCTGCGCTGCCATGATCGCGTTTCATGTTCATGTGTTCCTAACTTAAATTTTGAACGTTTGGAGTTTGGTTAAGGCTGTTTTTCTCCACTTGGTAAAGTTATGTACACGACACCAGCATCCTTTGGCTGCTGATCGGCCAGTATTAACACCAAATGTCTGTTTTGTTTTTTTCCTCTACCCCCTCCCCCAGCCTTTTTACTACCGAGGATGTGCCAAAAAAACAGTTTAAAGACAATTTACATTTTCTTACTTTCCCATTTGTGAGAAGAAAAAAAAATAGAAATATATTCTGGGGTGAAAGCAGATGGAAATCAATTGAAACTCATCATTACAACTCAATAAAAGCCGGTGGGAAAAACAGGCTTTCCACTCAGCCTAATAGAAGAAAAATAAAAGCGAACAGAGGAAGAAATCAAAATAATGAAACGGCAGCATGCTGAGGAACATAATGCACTCCTTCTCTTTACTAAGAAAGGTAACAGTGGTAGAGCTGCTCTGAACCGAGGCGACTAAAACGAATTTAAAACAGAATCTGCCTGATAAAATGTAAAGATCACTTCATGTTATCCTTTGCTGCTTTCTCTGTGACTATGTAGTACGGGTCCAGTACAACAAACCTGCCTCTCGTTTATGTCCATTGTACAATGATATGTAAAGCGTTCCATGCATTTTTGGAGCTGTCAGAACTTGAGGGGGAAAAAAGAGAGAAGGAAGTAATGGCTTGAGACGAATCACAGTATAACTGGAAAGAGTTGTTATGCGGGAGGGGATGCATGTGTGCCGACACGTTTAGAGAAAATGAATAAAGTGGCTGTAATTTTACCCTCATACAAAAGCCAACAGCACATTGATAATTACGAGTGGGGGGGGGGAGGGAGCAACGAGGTTATGCAAATGATGATCAACACAAACGCAAAGTATGGACAGAACCGAAAAATTTAGAACAAGGCACAGAATTTTCTGCAAATGGTTGAACTAAATAAAATTCGTACCAGCAGTCAGGGAGGTGTCGAATGGTGAAGCTCTCTACAGTGATTTCTGGCAACTTCTGGCGCACCCTCCCCACCCCCCCCAACCCGACCCCCTTTTACCGAAAAACCCCCGGACCCCCTAACGTTTTTTGTCCTTTTTTGATTTTGATTTTTTTCATTTTTTTTTTTTTAAACACACAAAACATTCCATCTACATCTGCAGACTAGACTAAACAACGGCTTAAAACCAGGCCTTCCTTTGAAACCCACGTCTCTCCTCTACCCCTCGACCCCTCTACTCTCAAGTCTAAAAGTCAAGCTGAAACAACCCCTGCCCCCGCCCCCCCGTCCCCCCAGAAACAGCCCAGCGTCCGCAGGAGGACGCCAGAGTGAGGGGTCCTGCTTCGATTAGATGTAGTACTCCTTCTTTTCGTCCGAGTTGGTGTGGCCGCCCTCTGCGTTGATGATGGCTGTGTCTGCGTCCGCCGCATCGTCTGCTCCTTTGGCTTCATGTGTGAAGTAGGTACCTGAGGAGGAGGAGGATGGAGGACAGGGTCACGGACCGGATACCAGCCTGCTGCTCAGATGATACCAAAGATTAAAATGCGCCCCTTCGTCTCGCAGCACCTAATTATGCAAATCCTCCACCGTGCGGCCGTTTACATCCACCCAACACCGGCAAAGCTACAACACTGTACGACGCTCTTTTTTTTTTTTTTTCGATCGGCACGTGAAGGTTTGGAAATGATCTGGAGTGTGGTGCCCACCTTCAAATTAACCTTGTCAAGTTCAGCAGGAAGAAAAAAAAGAAAGAAAAGGGAAGTAGTCGGCCACTTCAAAGCCAATTTACAAGATTTATTCACATCCCATCAGTTTGGTGGAGATGACAATATTCTGAAAGGCAAGTGGCCGACGGGGGGAAAATAAAAGCACGGATGCTGTTTGTGGTGTATGTAGATGTTTAATCTGACATTTAAAATTGGTTTCCTTACAGACGCCAACTTGTTTTGATTGTGTGACTTTAGTCTGAAGAGTCGAACCAGAGTTTTACCAACTGACCACATTTTCAGTTCAAGCCGCTCTACAGTTGATTTAACCCCAAAAACCTCTTTTTGGTGTTTCCAAACTACACATGTAGACAACTACGTCCATCCATTCATGCCTGAAGATGGCTGAATGGTCACTCTGTACGTTTGCATATTTACTCTCCACAATGAGAAGCTGTAATGGAGTCATGTAGTCTGTCATCGACGTGGACGTGGACACGCTCAGCCATGGTGCTCACTGTTTGTTTTGTCTATAATAAGTCTTCTATAATATAAAAACACAGCAAGGACAGGATGTTTTTCCAGAACACTCTGCTCTCGCGCTCGTTCTCGGTGCCATGGGTCACTCCAGGTCAGCGTGTTGTCGACTAATTATTGGAAAGTTTCCAACAGAGGCAGTTAAAAGTCACCCCGAATCATTAATAATACTTTTCTAATATAAATTTTTTCCGAGCGGCTGCTCACTCCGCATAGGTGTAATCACCAGAACAAGGCAGGAAAATCTCTCTCCTTGTGATTATTATTATTATTATTATTATTGTTCCACCATGAATATTCATATCTGGCCTCCAGGCACTTTAACTTGTAAACCGTTTACCACTCGTACTATACACAATTAGTCAAAGTGGCCTCAGTTTCATTTGTATACTTGGCATCTGGTTGCTATTTTCTAGTGAAAATGTGCTGCGAACAGCCCGAGAGGAAAACGGCACCGTGACAATAATTCACAAGCGAATATTAAAAGATGTTTGGAGTTTATTAAAGCTCGAGCTTCACAGTTTCAAAAACTTTGTGCGAAGCAAAGTTAGAGCTGAGATGTGGGCACGAAGAAGTCAGACACAGCGAGAAAAGCTGTTTAAATGTGGAGAGGAGGGCATGTGTTGTGCCTCCAGTGATCCCTCAGACAGCGGATTTCTCTTTAAAGTTCGCTTGACTGACCTGCAGCTTTTGTTTGTGACTATTTGATCGTCCGACTGCTCTGGTTTCTTTCCTGCTCAGATTCCTTCTCAGCAGTGTTGCTGCACTTCTACACGACAGCATGATGTTATAAAGTGCAGCGTTGTTTTTGTTAATTACGATCAACCTAAAGGTGCAGTAACCCAAACGTCCACTAGAGGCTCCAAAACTGAGCCAATCCTCAAAGACTCTGGTGTTAAAATGTTTAACTTTACAGCACAAATAAACGTGTTCACAGCCCAGTACCAACATGTTTATGGTCTCTTCAGCTTAAATTCATGGCGACTGTACCAGGGCTGATTTTTTTTAATGTAACGTACATGTTTAATTGTATTAAGGCCTAAAATTATACACAGTTCGGTGCTTTCAGAGACAAATGGACGCCGCTGGAGGACGGTTGAATTAGCTGGGAGCTAGGAGGCATCAGGTCCTGTCAAGGTGGCAAAACTTCTGGGTCCACCTACAGATACAGCCACCAATAATAACTACAAGATCCAAGATGGAATAAACCAGAATGATCCTATAAAACCTGCAGCGTCGTGACGCTGTGCACGGCAAACCACGTACCCTGGTCCTTGTATTTGAAAGAAACAGAATAAAAAAAGCAAAACCAGAAGAGGAATAAATGCCCTTTTGTAAAATTAGTAAGGAAAATAATATAATATTTGAACAGAGTTGGGACACTGAAGGACAAGGTGAAGACTAGAATTAAAACAGATATTTATTTACTATTTATTTATCCTCATTTAACACAAAGATCCCCTCGTACATACATGACAGAAGGTAGATTAGCGTTCATGTGCTGTTCTACCGTTTGTCCTGTAGTTGATTTTAATGCTGCGATGGGAAAAATGAACAACTAATCAACCTCATATCTGAATTCCAACATCTCCTGTAACTCCAGTCTTGGCCTCGTCTGGTCCTTATTCAAATCCACATCAAGTGCCCTCTGATGCCTCACAATCGTTTTAAAGTCTGCTTTTCATCATAATGACGGCATTATTCAAGTATTTTCCTTCTACATTAACCATTAAATGACCAAACAATAAAGTTTAAGGGCATGTAAACTGTAAACAGAAACCACCTTTTAAACTTTATTCCAGAAATAGTGCCACTAAAAATCCAAATAAATGGACCTGTACCGCCTCTTAAAACTTAACATCACGCAAATCATTTTCCAAGCAGGTGATTTAATTGGTTGTAAAATTCTGGCATTAAATGTAGTTGCACAGATCCAGAAGACAACGGGTTTCTCTGACAGATCCTCCCTCCAGCCTTCAGCCGTAATAGATGGTGAAGGAGTGGGTCAGCTTTCCACAGGATGTTGTTGTTCGCTAATCCACAGACAGCAGATCCGGGCCAGTAAGTCGACGGCGGCGGGGCTAAACTTTATCGGCAGGTTGGAGGCGCCGTTGACAGACAAACCGGGTCGGTGCTAACAGCGCGAGAACCTGAACGCAGCTTAACTCTATCCGACTCGGACCGGAGGCGTCAGCATCAGTACTGGATCACGTCACCGCCGAGACAAACAAACAAAGATGTTCGCGTGGACTTTATCTCCTGGACGGACGTCTGAGGGGAAACCGTGAGTTCAGCAACACCTTAAGATAATAATAATAATAAAATAAAGCCGCCTCGCCAGAACCTTTAATTTGCCTCATTTACGGCACTTCCCCTCTGAAGTGCTTAACGCGCCCGCTTCCATTTCCTCCTGCATAAGAAATATCAAAGTGTGAAATCTGTTATAGATTATAATTATTTCTGCGTGATGAGGGCGGCATACCAGATTTGCTTTACCATTCAGCAGGACCGCATGAAAAATGTAATTTTACTCATCACCAGTAACCCGTAGCCTTAATAGCTGTCTTTCTATCACTCGGGTAGCATCCATCTAATGATGAATTAAGAAGTTTTGGCAGGAAAAAAAAAAGGTAAAGAGGCTCCACTTGATCAACCTCACGGCCTGCGGCTGCAGACTGGAGGAAGCTGCCGAGGAACGCTATTAAAAGGTTCTGCTTTAAATATATAAATGATAAACAATATTGGAATGTATTAGAGGCAGACAGCATGTGATGTATGTGCTTAAAAAAATGCTTAAAAATAACGCTCAGGTTTTATCCCTCCGAACCTCAAAACCTCCTGGTGGGTTTAAAAGTGGGTTGTTTCTGAGAAAATTGATCAATCAGAGCCAAAAAACTATTTAAAAAAATATAAAACCTCAGACAGAACCGTTGACTTTTAAATTTTCCAACTGCACTTGAACTACCCGTCGGATAAATGAACCAAATCCAATCTTAAAATCATGATATGAAATCAAAATCACTGTATTCTACATAGCTGAGAGTCAGAACTAAACATTTTTCTCTAAACATAAAGCGTTTGCTCTGATCGGATTCTGTCAAAATATAAAAAACGATGTGCAGCAGGTGGTTCAGGAGCAGCCAGCAGGCACTTTTTGGTTTTGCTTACACACAACAGACATGAAACGAGCATCAAAACAGCTAAAAACAATATAACTGAGCATGTAAAAGCATCATTTTACAGTTTGGGTAACACCTGTGGGCTGTAGGAAAAACACTGCTTCCATGAGTTTTACATTTTTGTAAAATTTAGGTTCTTCTTTGGTCAAGAATTTAAAGTTTTTTATTATTTCTTTAAATGATTTATCACACTATGACTTTGTAGTGCAGCTCAACACTCACGTCTTTCTGCCTGTACTTGTGGCATCTCCGTAGAAGTTAAAGAATTTATATTGCAGTGAAAAATGAGCCCACAACGAGGACAAATGGAAGAAAACGCCCAGAAGCAGGTTTGGAATTCAGACGTGACTCTCTAGCGCTTTGTTTAGCTGTTTCTGAGTTTCCTTTAGACCAAGAAGCATCTGAGACGTGATCCAACACATTGTTCTGCAGCAAGAAGCGCTTCTGCACCCGACGCTTTGTTCAGTACAACAATCGTCAGTGCCGGTCGTAAGGTTTCAGCTCTGCTCACCTTTGTGTCTCGCAAAGTAGCGTCCCAAGACGATGAGTAGACAGAGCATGGCGAACACCACCACGGCCACCACCCCTCCGATCACGGCGTGGTCCACCGTTCTGGGCGCTCCTTCTCCAGCTCGAGAATCTGAAAGCACAAAAAAACAAAAAGGGGCCTCCTGTTAAAGCTCCTTCCTGCATCGTGGGAACAGCAATCAGCCGCCACATCCCCACGGGGACGTCTGACAGCTAAACGTGATGGAGATGCAGATTAGACTTAATGCTCGGCGTTTAAATGGAGGAACTTTGGCGCCGCAGAGCCTGAAATGTGTCGCTTTAACGACACGGAGACACAGCTGTGTTGGTGGCCGGCTGCCGTGGGCCGAACACTTCAGTACATCTACTGTCAGGGCGAGGAGGAGATAGACCTTCATCCAGTCAGAGTACATCCACAACACCACATCTCATGACAAGTTAAGAACAAGCTGGCGACGACGGCAGCCGTGTTCTGACCCTCCGAACCCGTCGCGGGTCCGAAAGGCGTTTTGATTAAGAAAAAGAAAACACAACTAAACAATCCATCGGCGCCAAAAACCTTAAAAAGAAAATGAATCGCTTCGTTTTTTACCTTTCTGATGGTCCATCTAGGTTTGTTTGTTCAGTTACTAAATCTAAGCTTAAAGTTGAGACATTTCGCCGAAATCACTTCAACATTCGCCCAAATTACACCTTAACGTCCAGATTGTCGAAAACACACAGAATTCTTCACTCCTCAACACAACTGACATCTCGTTCCACTGCCTGACCCAACTGGTTCCAGTGCTGGTCCAGAGCCAGAGCCTGACTTCACACCAGTTCTTTGTGATTCCACCATCTAAAGCTCCAGGTTCTCAAAACTGGTGCTGAGAGCTCAGAACCGTCCGGGGCTGGAGGCGGAGTTCTGGTGAGAGCACAGGACTGGCATTCTTCAAACTACAGCCCGGCCAGTAGCTGCATTTTTGGAAAACTAAATAAGTAAAGAGTTCTGAGGAGGAGACCCGGTGCTTCCTGGCACTGTGGTCTCCAACTGAAATCCAAAACCAGCTAGAAGGAGCCTCTCGGACCGGGCCTGGGTTAAAAAACACTCCAGCGGGAGACGGTTGCAGCCGGGTACGAGCAAAGCCAAGTCCTCAGTAAACTCAAGAAACCGAAAAAGGGCCTCAGGAGGTTCGTAGGAGGTGCAAGATTTGGACCAACTAAGCAGCAGCACGAGGAAGGTGAGAGAAATTCAAGGAGTTGTCGACTGAACTGCAGGTTGTGTCGACGCAGAGCAGAAACGAGACAAATTAAATTAAATATGTACAGTATGCAGAGTCACTAGTTATTTATTTTATTTTCCAGTTTTAGAAACACCTCTGGGCTTCTGGAAAAGTGTTGTACACTTGGTTCCATGTTGTTTTTACATTCTTATAAAACAAACAATTAAAAATATTATTTTAAATATATTATAGAGATTGACTGTAAAAGAGGGAGAAGAACGGGGAGAGACCTGCAGCAAAGGCGGGACTCGAACCTACGACTGCTGGGTCGGGGAACTCCAGCCCTGTTCACGGGTCGCCTGCTCAGCTCGGTGGCGCCCATTATTATGATTATTATTTAATGATTTATTGCATTATAGCTGCACTATTTCTCTACTTCTAGCCATGGCTGTGCTGTTTCCATGGGGCTGCAGGACTTCATGTTGTCTGCAGCGATTAAAAACGTGAGAGGAAACCAACGACTTCCAAGAACCAAACCAGATGGACTTCCTGTTTCATCTCTCGCGCAATAACTCTGTCGCGCTAAACGCCTAAAACCACACACATCGTACATCACGTTGTTCGATTCATGTTGTTTTGGCTGCGATTGTTTGTTTCCTCCAATTAAAAACGGCTTTTCCCGACTTCACTTTGGCTCCTTTGTCTCTTGCTGACATTTTAATAACCGCTGTACAAAACGACTACAACAATAACGGCTCGGATTGCAATCAAGCATTGATTAAGAATTACCATATTGCTGTCAGAGTGCCAGAAAATCATAGTAATAAAAGCAATATTTTACCTTTCTTTTAAAACCTATTCGTCGCGCTCTGTGAATCACCAAAACACTGACGTCTTATTAGGAAATCTGTCAAAAAGTTTTCCAGCAAACAAAACATTCACAGATTATTAATAGAGGAGGAGGAGTTGTTTTTTTTTAAACTTCCAGAGCAGGAGTTTTAAAAACCTCGGGGTCTGTGTCTGGACGACGAGCCCCTGAAGCTCGGGGCTGTAATGCGATGTGAAGGCTATTGATCAGGTGTAGGGATCCATGACAACCCCCAGTTAATATCCGCTTGTGGACCTGATTGCTCCTTCACGGGACAAAGGAGCAGCACGTTTATAACCAACATTATGCTACAGGACGGCGAGCGGGAGGCGGAGAGACGACGGCGGCGGCGACTCACGTGGCGCCGAGACGTGACCGCAAACGAACTCCAGACTCGCTCACACTTTTATTTAAGCCTCAAAGAGTCGACAAAGTGACTCAATTTATCCGAAACTGTCATTAACAAAAAGAATCGTCAGCCGTCAAAATCACTTTATTCAACGTGTCTGATTTAAAAATCTGCAATAAAACAAACCAGATTCTGTATAAAACTAAATATTCTGTGAACTCGGCTTCGACCTGCAGCCACGTGACAGAAACTCAGCGACTGTTCGGCTGAACTGCAGGACGTGTTTCACACAGAACAGACACGAGACTAATTACAAATGAAAGCAGTCGTGTTTTTAACACTTTCAGGAAACAGTTCACTGTTACTGCAGTGATTTTCCATGTTTTGTTAAATTGTGGGTAATAACGAGGGAAAAGAAAGACAAACAGTCTAAATGATCATGTTCAGCATTAGACTATAAAAGTATTGCATTTAAATAAACTAAAAATATGGCATTTTACAGATATTTGCTGTTTACTGAAGAACAATGTGCATATTAAAGAATTTAAAAAATTGCAAATAATATGTTTTTTCTTGGATTTTGCAAATTACAGATTGTTGTTACAGACAAGAAGAAAATAATAATAATTTTTAAAAAAAACACAAACCAAAGCTGTAATTAATGTCCACATCAAAAATCTATACTTTGCAAACAATAATCTGTTTTTTTGTTGTATGACTGTAAAATCACACAGTTATACTTTATTTAAATCAATTAAAATGTGATTATTTTTCAGATATTTGCTGCTATTTTTTCTGCATTGACAGTTTGTGAATGGTGCAGAACTCCAACATATTTGTTGGTATTCAGTCTTTGGTTAACTGTAGAACTTTTATACTGCAGTGCAGAATAAACCCAGAGTGAGACAGGAGCAATAAAATGTACAGACGTGACTCGATAATCCGACACTAAATGTAAAACCTTCTTTTATGTCGGATTGTCCAGACGGAGGTCCAGATACGAGGAGGGCTTGATGCTGGAGGGATCATTAGTTGTTCATTATTGTTCATAGTTGTTATAATAACTAGTAGGGCTGGTCCCAATAGAACTTTCTGGGCCCAATTAATGATGAATATCAGAACATTCAGCGCTGTCAGGGGACACTTCCACCCCGGGGCAGCGCTCTGACGGGGTGGAAGTGTCCAGAACACACAGGCAGTACTTGGCTGCTGATGCTAGTTTAGTTAGCGCTCACACTTCTGTTTCCTCCATCGGTGGCGGCGGGGGAGTGGCAGATACGCTCCACCGTTACCATCCATGTTTACTTCCATAAACACTGAGCACGCTCGCTGCGTGTGACGTCGTCGTGTCCTCTTGTGCGCATGCGGGACACTTTTGGCTCGTATGAAGTTCACACAGCAGATCACATACAAGTCGCATTGAAGTGGAAACGTGAAGGAAGTCACAAAGAAATCCTCATTGAGCATCAAGTCCTGCAGTGTGAACGTAGCCAATCTGTGGGATTGTTCAGTCAGATAATACGCCGTCATCCTGATTGGTGACATTAAATGTCATGTCGGAGTCACAATCCAAGGCTGTCGGTGTGTTAAGACTGTTTTTATGGGTTCTGTTAGGTTTTCGGATTGTTAAGGGTCGGACTATCGAGTCACGACGGTATTATTATGACATATTATTGATATATTATTGATATATTTTTGTGCTTTTAGGTCATTTGGATGTGACCGTACACGATACAAATAACCTTTATTTACAAACTAAGTCAGGACACCGAACAACGACCAGTTCTCGTGCTGCAGACCTTCAGCTTCCTCCTGCATCCTCCGTAGAAACCGACTAAAACTCCTCCAGCTCTGCTCTGGGCTTCTGCTGACTGAGCTCCAGAGACCAGAGAGAGGGAGAGCGGGTCACAATTGATTAACGAATAACACAAACAGGGAGAGAAACATCATGGATAACATCAGCTCCGCACCACACCGGCATTAACCGACCTGGAGCGAGGGGGGCGGGGGCAGGGCGGCGCCGCGCTACCTGTCAAACCCAACAAAACATTACCTGATGGATCTAATAGGTTATTTTGACTTCAGATTTTCTTTTTTAGTGCTGGGCAGATTCAATTAAACTGAGCAGGAATCCTTCTGACATCCAATTCGCTCTTGTCAGGGCGGCTCGAGCGGCGCTTTAACACACTTTCCTATTACGATGTTAATGTGGACTTTGGCTCGGAGGCGGAGGCAGGCGGTGGGGTCGGGGCGGTGGAGGTGGAGGTGGCTCGGATGGCTGCAGAGGATCCTGCTTGATTGTCCACATCAAACTTTGCAGGTTTAAATTAATTTAAGGGGGGTAGAAGGGAGCATCAGAAGTCTCCACACGTCTCGGCGTAATATCCTGTTGCTTCATAGAATCATGGATTTACATGCAGATAAAGTGAAGCAGCATTTTCACCACAACAGTGTGAAGTCCGGCCTGTTCGGTGGCCTGAAGGGAAGTTTTGTCTTTATTCGAGCTGGTGATACGTATGTTTTGTTGTAATTTCATCCTGCACCACCTCATTTGAACTAAGAGACAATGCATGAATAATCCAAGTCAGGAGCTGCTGTTGAACCACAGACTGTGTAAAAGATGGACGTAGCAACCGGTCCTGAAAAATGAAACCAACCCGGACGTGTTAAAACCCGGCAATATCACTATGTCC